GGGGGGTGGGGGGTGGGGGTGGGCAGTATGGGGAAATCGGCACTAGCAGAAGAAACAAGTGCAAAAGTCAGGAGGAAGGAAGAGCCTGGTGGTTTGAGGCCCTAGAAACTTTGGTGTAATTGTGGTGTGGCATCAGACTCCAGAACTGGGAAGCTTGTTAAGGAACGGTATGAGGTAGAAGAGGCTCAACAGAATGGTCTGGGGACTTCTGCAGAACTCAAACCCTTGGCAATGTTGATGTCCTGGGTGGATGCAATGGACAAGGCTATGCTCGGTTGCTGTTTGTTACCGTTGAGTGGCTTCAGCTCTGACTCACAACTCCATGGATAAAAAAAAACATCTTCAGGATTTTTATGCACAAGTCCATTTTTGTAGCCACTGTGCATTTCAAGTGCTTTCCAACATGGGATGGGGGCTCACCTTCTAGCACCGTATATGACAATATTCTGTTATGATCTATAAGGTTTTCGTTGGTTAACTTTCAGTAGATTGCCAGACCCTTCTTCCTGGTCTTAGTGGCTAGCTGCTGAAAGTTGTTTACTATGGTTGACACTACTGGTATTTCAAATACTGATGGAATAGCTTCCAGCATTGTGTTGTTGTTGTTAAGTACAGTCAAGTTGGTCCTGGCTCACAGTGACCCTGTATAGGGTTTCTGAGCAGGAGCTGGTATGTTTGAACAGCAGACCTCGTGGTTAGCGTCCCAGTGCTTATCCTACAATACCACACCAGGAATCCAGCATCATAGCGACATGTAAGCCACAACACTATGACAAATGGACAGATGAATAGTGGAGAGGGCACTAACAGGAAAAGCCTTAACAGCGTGTGGCCCTTAACATCCATCGGGGAATCTTAGACCACCGCATTTAGTCCCATGAGGTTTTTTGTTAAGGGTCTTTTATTATTTTCCCCCAAATGGAGTCCTGGTGTGGAGCTGTAGGATAAGCACCAAACTGCTAACTTACAAGGTTGGCAGTTCAAACCTACCAGCCGCTCCTTGGAAACCCTATACAAAGTCACTGAGTCTGAACAGACTAGAAGGCACTTAATAGCAACAATGGTTTTAAAGACTCCCAAACCCAAGTGGATGAGTGGGGTGTTCCAGGGCGCATCTCAATCCTGCAGCACTTCCTCTCATCCCTCTTTCCTGGCTCCACTTATCCCCCTCCCTCCCGGCAGCCATTTCTTCAGTTCCTGCTCCAGGTGCTGGCTGGGTCAGGAAACTTACAGGCGCCCATCTTCCGGTGGCAGCTGTACAATCTCAGCCACACTAACAGGGTAGTGGCTGTCACCACCAGTTATACTCCCAGTCTCTAGGCCACCTCTCCATCCCTCTGTGCCCAGATGTCCACAAAGTCCTGATCTTTCTGCCCCTAACTGTCCCAACCGCACACCCAGTAAGGAAGGCCTCCAGTATCTAGTGGATACAGCTCTCGCGCTTCGTCCAGCTGGCTCCTGTAAGAATTTAATACAGCAGACTTCATGGGTGCCCAATGCAATCCTAGTGTGGTGCTGTGGGATAAAACACTGCACCACCAGGTCTGTCTGAACCAGGTTGGCGGTTCAAACTCACCAGCCGCTCCTTGGAAACCCTATACAGGTCACTATGAGTCGGAACTGACTCGATGGTATTTAAGAACACAACAGTGTGGGCCCCCTGGTGTGGTACCATAGGATAAGCACTGAACTGCTAACTGCAAAATTGGCTTTATGAGGACTTAGCTCCAGATTATACAGAGACTGCCTGTGTATATGGTATTCCCACAATATCCATCCTATTTTCAGACCGGACTGTTAACCATAAGGTCAGTAGTTCAAACCCAGCAGCTGCTTTGCAAAAGAAAGATGAGGCTTTCTGCTCCTGTGAAGATTCAGAGCCTCAGAAACCCCACACAGAGTCGCCATGAGCTGTATTCGACTCAATGGCAGGTTTGGTTCTTTTCGTTTATCGTGGACGGTACTGAGAGAAAGTACAGAAAAATTGGTGTAACTCTCCCAAGTTCAGAGTGAGGGGGTAAAGGTGAAAACAAGGAGGGAAGAGGCAGAGCACACAGGGCCTCCCGTGACAGGTTGAGGGGGTTGGACCTTCTCCTGGGGGCACTGCGGAGCCAAAGAAGGGCAATGACCAGGTGAGGGGCAGAGCGAGCACTGAGGGTAAGTGGGGAACCGAGTGGAAGAGAGAGACTGGAGGCTGGGGTGGGGGTCTGAGCTGAGACCAGGGCCTCTGTGGCATTTTAGGACCACAACCCAATGTCTCACTGTATTTCTCACCAAAGACAGAACAAAGGCAAATATCTTTTATTTCAGTTTCTTTTGGAAGCTACTAGTCTCTCTTAAAGGCACAGGGAGACGCTGAGATCACGACAGCACCGACAAGAGGGGCATCGCCACCATCAACTTCTGTGGAAAAACGGGAGGAAGGACTCAGGGTCTAAGGGTCTCAGTCCCTGAACCCTCCTCCCTCAGACTCAGAAACCCCGGCCCCAACCCCTCCCCCAGCACCCCTGTCCCACTTCTCAGGTACCTTCCTTCTCCGGTGGAAGGCTGCCTTGCTCTCCTCAGTGTTGATCCGAAGGGGGATGCAGGCATCCAGGCGGTACAACTGCTGGGGCCCCTTTATCACCAGGTGGTTCTCCCCAAGCTCCAGCGACAGACCCACAGCTCCATCCTGGGAATGTGGTGGCATCAGGCCTGCTCCTAGCACCAGGCATCTGATGACACAGACTGGGGGGAGCAGCCTCCAGCACAGGACCGCTACTGCACTGCAGGGGGGCCACTCTCCAGGCAAAGAGGTGGAGATGGTAATCAAAGGTTTTCACCCTGCATCCTTCAGGGGGTGGGCAGCACCAACAGAGGTACCCTAGGGGCAGCTCACCAAACTCACACAAGGTTACAGACTGAATCATGCTTTCTACAAAATATCTGCTGTCAAGCCAAACCTCTGGTGGCACGGTGGGTTAAGCATTAGTCTGTTAACCACAAGTCAGCAGTTCAAACCCACCAGCAGCTCTGAGGGAGAAAGATGAGGCTGTCTGCTTCACGAAAGACCGGCGGCCTCGGAAACCCTATGGAGCAGTTCTACTCCGTCCTACAGGGACGCTATGAGTTGAAACCAACGCAAAGATGGTGGGATTTCTGAATACCTGTGGTTATAAGCCCATTTAAAGGAATCCTGGTGGTGCTGTAGGATAAGCACTAAACTGCTAATGGCAAGATCTGCAGTTCAAACCCACCAGCCACTCCTTGGGAGAGAGATGAGGTTTTCTGGAAACACTAGAGTGGGTGTCAGTTTGGTTTGGGTTTATATGCCCATTTGGCCAAGAGTTTTCTTTGTTTTGCCAGTGAGGTAGGGTTAGTGTGAAGTGTGTCTTAAATCAATGTCTTTTGAGCTAAAAAAGGAGACTGAGCAAACAAGGAAGCAGAGATGGGGGATGACAGATGTCAGGCCCCATGCAGATGGCCCGCAAACTAAGACCCAGAAACTGAGAAGAAGAGACAAGAGACCAAGTGGACAGAAGAGAAAAAGCCTTTCCCTAGAGCAGGGGCCCTGAACTCACACTTGTAGCTTTCTGGGCTGTGACAAGAGAAACTTCTATTCGTTCAAGCCACCCATCTGTGATATTTCTGAACAAGATAAACCATGAGGAGCCCTGGTGGCACAGTGGTTTAGTGCTTGGCTTTGAATCAGGAGCAAGATGGGCAGACTGATTCTACCAAGATGACAGCCTCAGAAGCCCTCGGGGGTAGTTCGACTCTGCCCTACCAGGACTCCATGAGTCAGAATCCACTGGCTGGCAGTGGGTTGGACATACCAGGAGGAGGCTGCACAGCCCCCTTCAGAGACCTGGATCCCCAGGTCCCGCTCTTCTAACTGCACTCACCAGCTTAGGAAGGTCAATTTCTGCCAAGAGGAGGTCAGGGGCTTCCAGCCAGAGACTCACGGGAGGCTTCTCCAGACTGGTGGGAGCAAGGTGATGAATTAAGGAGAGGCATATCTTAGCCAAGGCTGTTCCCTCTGCCTGACATGCTCTTCCCTGCCTTCCCCCATTCCTTCCACCTTGCTGTCCTGGGAAGCCTCACAGAACCCCAGGAAGTTCCCAGGATTCAGTGTGGAAAGGGAGTGTCCAGGGAGGGATTCAGAAGCACCCACCCACCATGTCTCAGTTGCCCTGTAGCTCTCCATGGGCAGATTCTCCAGCTCTTGGATCCGAGGATGTTGCCGGGAGCGGATGTTCTGCTGGCAAATAGAGCCCAGAAAAGGCCGATTCTTCAGTATACGGTATTCTGGGGGAAGCCGGGGTGAAAGGTCATCCGGTTAAGGTCACTTTTGCTTGTTCAGGAGTCTCTTCCCTGGTGCTCTGGAGTCTGACCACACCCTCTACCGCCTGTCTACTCTAGCCTCGCCCATTTCTCCAATCAACTTCCTAGAAAAGCTCGGAACTCCACCTGTCCCTGGTTGCCCAGGCCCTGCTCCTTATCTGAACCCCAGGCCTGACCCAGCCACACAGTTTAAGGAATGGAAGCCCACTCCTTAAACTGAGAGGCCAGGAGTTCAGAAAATTCCCATGGCACCCTTTCAAGGGTTGTTCCACCTTCTCTCCCAGGATTCAGCCCCTCACCTGGATTCAGCTGCAGGCTGTATTTGTCCTCCAGGCCCTCTCTGGCAATGGTGACCACAAGCTCCCTCAAGAAATCACTGTTCTAGGAGAGAAAGAATGGGAGATGGGTGATTGGGGAGTGGATGGAGACACTCTTCCTCCCCACAGCCCTGACCCCCACCTGCATTCTCCTGTAGAAGTCGCTGTTGATAGCTACATCGTAGGCAGTACAGCCTTGGCCTTCTGTGGGGAGAGAAAAGGGGTGAGAACCTCCGTGGAAAGCCAGACACAGCCAAGGAAAAGCACTCAGGGTCAGTAACCGGAGGAACTGGAGACGCAAGAGATCAAGACAGGTCTTCCTTCTACGGTCTGACTTCCCTTTAGTCTCCTTCGCAGCCATCTCTCCCGCAATGGTCTGTCCCCATTATCTGCCCTGCTCACAGCGCTCCAGGGCTGGCCAGTGTCCCCAAGTAGGGTCCACAACACTCGGCCTGACTTTGGAGACCCCTCCCACCCCACAAAGCAAAGCCCAGTCCTCTTCTAGAGACACCCCTGAAGCCCCTCCACCCCATCTCTTTTAATTTCTTCTAATCACTCTGCTTAATGGCTGATCCAACCCAATCATTCTTTCTGGCCTCTGGACCCCTCTGTCCTATTACAAACTTTCTGTGTCTTTGCCTGATGACCTCCTCCATATCCTTCAAATCTTGTACTCCACACTTTCCCTGACCTCTGGCTGGGTGCAGCTGGAGGGTCTCCTCTGGGCTAGGCCAAGTGCCCCCTCTGGTGTAGCACATATCACACTATACTGAAATCATACCTGTCCTTTTATCCCCAACCCAAGACTGGGAGTTTCTCACAGGTAGAAATGGGGTCTGATAAGTTCACATTCCCCAAAGGGCTTCAGGAGACATGTGTGAATTGAAGGAATAAGCAGACAGAAGCAGTCATGCAACAGAAACAGACTGAGCTGGAGACAAGGAGAAGGGATGGAGGAGGCAGAGATGAGTCCCTGCGGGCTGGCCGGGGACTAGAACCGGGAGCTCAGCTCATTCATAAGCACACAGCCCTGTCAGCCCCTCTCCAGCCTGGGAGGGGGCAGGGGACAATCTTGGGTCTGAGGGAAAACATAACCCGGACTCTTGGACCTGAAGGAGATAGATCCTAGACCTGAGGGAGGAAGTAGCCAGGGGCCCCGGACTTTTGTTGGATCTGAGAGAGATAGATCCTGGGGCCAGAACTCCTGGGTCTGAGTGGGTGTGTGTGGGGGGGGTGTACCAGGTCTGAGGGAGGAGGGGCCAGGAGTGCACTAACTTGCATCCAGTTCCGCATGAGGTTCCCCCAGGCTCATGGGGATGCGGAACCCAGCTTGGTCCTCCTCCAGCATTTGCAGCAGCTCATCTTCAGTCACATCAGCGGGAGGAGGGATGGAGGGCGAGTGGCAGATGTTGATGAAAATCTTCCCTTCCGGTGAGTTGGTCTTTATGCAGAAGCCTGGTGGAATTAGCTTTGTCCTGCTCATCTGTTTGGAACAGGGCTGCTTCCTTTCCACTCTCTGTCCCTCTTCCCCTTTTGCTGTGGGCTTCCCCCCGCCCCCGCCCCCACCTTCAGATCTGTTTCTCCTTCTGGATCTCCTCCCCCACAGCTAGGTCTCTATGCCCTTTCTCTCCTTGCTCTTGGGCTCTCTGTTCTCCCATTCTACACTTCAAATCTCTCTCTTTCCTCCTCTATCTGGGTCTGACCTCCTCGCCCAACCTCTGCCACCCCCAGTTAGTACGTTATTTTCCTCCCTCCTCTCCCTTCTGAGTCTTTGTCCTCTTTCTGAACTTTTGGCTTTCTCACCTGGCTGAGGCTGGATCTGTGTAGACTCTGGTCTGGTTGTCTGGGCTTTCTGGAGCTCCTTGGAAGCCTGTGTGAAAGAACGCCTTCCACTCGTAAGAGTCTGTGCCCTCAGAAGCCTCATCTGCCCCCGCCCCCCAGATGTTTATTGAACAACTGTTACATATGAGAAAGATTTCTGGTGGCGCAGTACATTAGGTATTTGGCTGCAAACCATAAGGGTTCAAACCCACCAGTCATTCCAAGGGAGGCTGTCTGCTCCTGTAACGATTTACAATTATGAGTAGATTTAGACGCGATGCAGTGAGTTTGGTTTGGGTTATGTAAACAGCTGGGGATGACACGAAAGAATGAGACATGTTAAGGGCCCTTTCTACTTTGAGGACCCCAACTCCCATTTCTGCCAGGACCTGGCAAATTTAGGATCAAAACAAACAAAGACCAGTAGTGTAGATTCCGCTTCACCCTATAAGAGAGAGTAGAACTACCACATAGGGTTTCCAAGGCTGTAAATTTTTGCCATCTTTCTCACACAGAGCGGTTGGTTGGTTCAACAGCCGATCTTTGGGTTAGCAGCCGTGCACTGCATCACCAGTGCTACCCATAACTTGGGGCCAAGCAACTACAATTCTGGCAGTTGCTGTTACCGCCTGAGTGCATTCTGGGAACTGGAGTCCCATGTCTCAGCACAATTTCCGAACATCCAGGAACCCAAGAGTCAAATCCGTCCGCACCTGCAGGAGTAGCTCCTCGAACCGCGCCGTTTCAGGGACCATGGTCTCTTCTTCGTTTAGCTCAGACATCAGCAACTTCGAGTTCGCCATGTTACTGGGAAAGAGACTTAGGCGCCCAACGTGGAGGAACCTTCTCTGGGATCCAAACGCCTCAATGCCGGCCCCTCAACCAACTCCCGATTTAGATAGTTGTCTGAAAACCTAAGAATCTAGATTGAAACTACAAAGCCATTCCAGACCAGACACCATCTTTAAATCCGTTAGGAACCAATCTCTGGGAGAACTAGCTGGAAGTGCTAAACACATAAGAAAAAGCCTCACTTCCGGTCTCTGTGTAGCCATGGTATTGAGGATGCCACACTTCCGACGGCCCAGATGCTCACTCTCAGTCCCGCGCCAGCGGCCCATCATCGACTAATCACATTTGACGTCTGGAGCCACACGACCCACCTTAACCAATCAAAAATGAAATCCAAGGCTACCCTTCCGGCAAATGCTCACCAAATGCCACATTTCCTGTCTCTAGAAAAGCAACACTTCCGGTGTTCCCTACAAATACTTCCGTCCAGGTCCGTGCTATCAGGGCTGAGTTATCCTAGATTCCGTTCCCTACTAAACATATTTCGGATCAAAAGCTGCACTTCTTGTCAACAACGACCACTACCCCAGATCTAGAATCTTCCTATTTACAGGTGTTCCACAACTGGAGCTGTGGAAAAAGCACTAGACAGCAAGGTCGGTTTGAACCACGAGGTTGGAGGCTCAAACTCACCAGCCGCTTCTTAGAAAGCGTATAACAGGGTCGCTATGGGTCAGAACCGACTCGATGGCACTCAACAACAACACAATTCTATTTCCAGTGCCACACACATGCTTCAATCTACAGTTTCAACGAAAGCCAGGAGGCGGGGCCCACAGATCCTAAGGCGGGGAAATGGGCAGAGTTCAAGATAGCTAGCTCCTTAGCTCCACCCCCTTTTATTGGTCCTGCCCCACTGGGCGGAGGGGGCGGTGCTGCCCTTTGTACCGCAAAGTTTCCCTGTGCAGAGTGCCTTTCAATCCCCTGTAGAAAACGGTCTGGGTGAACTATGGCTGCGACGCGCACAGGAACCCAAACTCGAGAGATTTTTACCACGATGGAGTACGGGCCGGTACCTGAGAACCACGCATGCGCACTGGTGAGGGCAGGCTCCAGCCGGAGCTGACCACCCCACTACCCGGTTTCCCCTGGCCCATTTTGGGCTGCTGACTCCCGTGAGCCACTGCGGCAGCTCAGCAACCCCGCCCCTCTTGGATCCCGTGGTTCCCGCCATTCCTTCAGACTCATCCCTGGAGGACGTTCCGTGAGCGGTCCGGGTTACTTAGTGTTACCCTTTGGTCTAGTCCCATGATCCCTTGCACCTCTGGTGCAAACGAATCTTAAGTAGGACTTCCGAGAGGCTCCCTGGACTGCCTGTGGAGTTTCCCTAATTCCTCTGGGCCTCCTCAGAACGTCCCGTGATCCCCGGAAACTTGTCCGAATTTCTGTGAGCTCTCAGTATCCCCTCAGCCTTCATACTACCCATGAATCTTAAGAATATTTCCTGTAAGACCCAGGACCCCTTAGAATTCTTCTGAGGCAGATCGCTGATGACCCTCAAGACCTCGCTTGGTGCTCCCATGATTCCACCGGGCCCCTCAATACTTGTGGGACCCCTATGATAACAGGGGAACCCTAATGGTGGCGGTGGTTATGTACCTTGGAGTTGGTTCCAACTCAGTGAGCCTGTACAGGGTTTCCTGAGGCTGTAAATCTTTACGGGAGCAGAAAGCCTCATCTTTATCTCGCAGAACCGCTGGTAGTTTCGAATGGATGATAAATTAAAACTTTTTGTAATTACCTATGTTGTTAAGTGCCCCTCAGAATACTCTCTTGGAACTCCCATGATTCCCCAAGACCCTTCAGAATATCTCTTGGGACTCCCATGATGTCATTGTAAAAAAACACAAAAAAGACGACTCCTCATAGCCACCCTGTAAGGGTTTCAGAAGAGCAACTGATGGCTTTGAATGGCCAACTTTGCTGTTAGCAATTAAGTGCTTATTCTACAATCCCACACCTGAACTCCACATGATTTTTCAGGACCCTCTTCATGAGGCTCTTGGGAAACATCTGTGGGACTCCTGTAATATTCCAAACCTTCCCTACCCACCCCCCCAATCCATCTAGATTTCTATAAATAAGTAGAGTAACTCAACATTTATGTAATTTCCTAACACCCCTCAGAATTACCCTTGGGACTTTGGTGAGTCTTCAGAGACTTCCAGAACCTACACCTGAGAAACTGGGGCATCTCTTGAGGGGAAGAGGAAAGGGCCCAGTTCAGAAAGAAGCCCCTGGGGCCACTGGGAAACAAACTGAAGGGATGGAAGCAGGGGAGGAAACTTGTCCAAGTGGGAAAGGATGAAACGCATAGCTGGAACCTAGCTATGGATGTGAAGAGGAAGAAGGGATGTGGCTGAAATTGAAGGACCGGGATTTGGGGACTTGAAGGGAAAAGGACAGTTCTTGGGGACTGGCTTTGTGACTGGGTGGCGGTTTCCCAGGCGGTGAATCTAGCGGGAACAGGTGAGCTCAGTAGTGACATGGTGAGAGCGTGAGGGATCTGGAGACAGTCATGGGTGTGTGCAGGTGTCAAATCATACTTTGGCCTATGCCTCAGGCCAGTGGTTGGGCTGGGCACAGAGATCTGGGAGTTACCAGTGTAAAAGAATAATTAAGTCCTCAGAGTGACAAGATTATCTAGAGACGTGTAGACTTCCACAAAAGGAGGATCAGGGGACAAAATACAAAGAATCACCACACTGAAGGCTGGTTGTTGTTGTGTGCCATCGAATCATAGTCACTGTGTGTTTGGGGTTTCTGAGAGCAGCTGATGGGTTTGAACTGCTGACCTTGCAGTTAGCAATCCAGTGCTTATCCTACAGCACCACACCAGGGCTCAGGAAGGTGGTTAGAGGTAGAATATCCTATAATAAATAATGTGATTTTTTAAAAAAAAGTCACTGCCTACTTGCTAAAAAAAGATTCTATGATGGTTACCAGGGGATGAAAGGGGAAGGGGAAATTATTCACTGGCTAGAGGGTAGACACGTGTTAACATGGGTGAAGGGACATGTATCATACAAGAGGGAAGTTAATACAGTAAAGACATTAGCATAGGAAAAATGAGTGTAGCTGGAGACTCAGGAACGAATGCAAGAGTTAAAGTGAATAGATGTAAATACTGTGAACTGATGGTACATGGAGGGGATTGCAATCATTGTAATAAAGCAAAGTCTAGGATTTGCTGAATGTAAAACTGATGATCTGCTCTGTAAACCTTTGCTCAATTCACAATGAAAAGTTAAAAAAAAAGTTACTGCCCAGTCAGTTAACCTAGGCTTTTGGTGACCCCCATATGTGTCAGAGTAGGACCGCACTCCAAAGGTTTTTCAACTGTTGGTGTTTCAGAAATAGATCACCAAGCCTTCCTTCTTTTAGCTTTGTGTGAAAAATCAGGGAAAGGTTTACAAAGCCAATCCGTTTTCCATTCCGCAATGTGTACACTTTTGTTTCTCCTCATTGTTTGTAATTCCCATAATGTAGCATCATTCATCCCACTTCCTCCCTATTTCCCATTTTCACCTCTCCTTCTTTCCCAACCCTTCCTGCCTTTCAAACTTTGTTTTGGGGCAAATACAAGGCCTTTCTTTTGAGGCACCTCTGAACTTGAACCTTCAGCCCTTCAGTTAGCAGCCAAGCAGTTTGTACCACCCAGAGCTCCTAGATAGCAAACACACACACAGTCCCACTGCCATCAAGTCAATTTGGACTCAGGTAGACCCTATAGATCAGTAGGACTGCGCCCCCTAGGGTTTCTGAAGTTGTAAATCATTATGGAAGCAAGTTGCCTCAACTTTCTCTGGTGGAGTGACGGTTAGGTTTGAACTGTCAACCTTGTAGTTAGCAGTGCAGTGCTTAACCCAGTGTACCACCAGGACTTCTCAATGTGATCTTGTTGTTGTTTAGAGCTGTTGAGTCAGTTCTGACCTCTAGCAATTCTTCAAAAGATTTCCAAGGAGGAGCTGGTGAGTTTGAACTGCCAATCTTGTGCTTAACAGTCCTGCTTATCCTACAGGTCCACATCAGGCCTTCTTAATATGATGTTGTTATTAAGTACCATCTAGTCATTTCCGACTTATAGCAACCCGGTGTAGGGTTTTTGAGGAGCGGCTGATGTGTTTGAACTGCTGACCTAGAAGTTTGTTATTGTTAGGTGTCCTCGAGTCGGTGCTGACTCCTAGAGACCTTATGCACAGCAGAATGAAACACTCACTGCCTGATCCTGGGCCAACCTCACTACTGTTGTCACGCTTGAGTCCATCAATGCTGCCATTTGGCCAGTCCATCTTGTTGGGGGTCTTCCTCTTTTTCTCTGACCCTCTACTTTACCAAACATGATATCCTTCTCCAGTGACTGGTCTCTCCTGGCAATATGTCCAAAGTATGAGAGACGAAGTTTGGCCATCTTGGCCCCAAGGAGCACTCTGACTGCACTTCTTCCAACATGGATCTATTGGTTCTTTTAGCAGCCCATGGCACTTTCAATATTCTCCTCCAACACCATAACTCAAAAGCATCAATTCTTCTGCGGTCTTCCCTATTTACGGTCCAGCTTTCACATGCATATGAGGTTGTTGAAAATACCATGGCTTTGGTCAGGTGCACCTTAGTCCTCAAGCTGACATTTTTGCTCTTGAACACTTTAAAAAGGTCTTGTGCAGCAGATTTGCCTAATGCAATATGTTTGATTTCTTGACTGCTGCTTCCATGAGTGTTGATAGTTGATCCAAGAAGAATGAAGTCGTTGACAACTTCAATCTTTTCTCCATTGATGTTTATTGGTCCAATGGTGAGGATTTTTGTTTTCTTGACATTGAGATGCAATCCATACTGAAGGCTGTGCTCTTTGATCTTAATCAGTAAATGTTTTTAGTCCTCTTCACTTTCAGCAAGCAAGTTTGTATCATCTGCATATTGCAGATTGTTAATGAGTCTTCCTCCAATCCTGATGCCACGTTTTTCTTCATATAACCCAGAAGTTAGTCCAGTGTGTATCCTACTGTGCCACAGCAGAACATTTATTGGTTGTTTTCTATATGTCAGGCTGTGTGCTAAGCATGATCTCATTTCCAAATAAGTGTTGTTACATGCCGTCGAGTCAGTCCCGACTCGTAGCGACTCTGTCTAGGGTTTCCAAGGAACAGCTGGTGGGTTTAAACCACTGACTTTGCGATTCAAATTGACCTGGAGGTCCAACGAATTATCCTGCCACGTCACACCAGGACTCCTAAACAACTGTAAGAGGTCCATAAAATGCTCGTCATTATTTTAGTAATAACAGACAGAATCTTGGAGTCCCTGGGTGGTGCAAATAGTTAGGCGCCACCTGAAAGATTGGCAGTTTAAGCCTACCCAGAGTTGCCTAGGCTGTAAGAGAATAGTCCATCTGCTTCTGAAAGGTAGAGAGTCTTAAGGCCCTGTGGAACACTCAGTTCTACTTTTTACACATGGGGTCCCCAGCAGGCAGAATCCCCCAACAGTAACTGACAACAATAGAAAGAGGCTTAGAGAGATGAAGTCACTTGTCCATAGTCAACTCCAAGGTCGAGCAGCGATTTGAGACCAGCCCTCAGCTGCCAAAGCCATTGAATTCCAGAGGCCTTGATTCCAGAGTGCATAGTGCCTACTCACCCGCTAGCCAAAGGCCCCAACCTTACCAGACTCAACAAACAAACATGTTTCCTTGGCCAGCATTGCATTTTTGAAGACAAAAATCGGTGACCAACTAATTCCAAGTAAACATCCGGGATTCCAGTGTCTCTTAGAAATAAAATTCCAATATTTGGCAACCTCTGGTTCACAGGCCCTGACAGAAATCATCTGGATCTGATTGTCATTGTCTTTTTAGGCAAGTCTTAGCTCCTAGCCTCCACCCAGCCTGTAGCTCAACCTCAAATGACCTCTGCGCATTCTGGATGGATTGTTTTTTGCTGTTTGAAAGTTCCAAACTTCCAAAGTCTGGAATCCCTATCTCCCCATCACTCAGCTTCAGTAATAACACTTGATCCAATGTGGTTTCCTTCTTGTTTTTGCTTTTTCCTCTGGAATGTTTTAAACAAATCTCACATGTCATGTTATTATTCCCATAAATACTTGAATTCTTATTTCTAGCAGATAAAGACTTGTTTTGTTACATAACACTATTATCATCCTTAACAACATGTGTAATCACTCTGTAATACCAACTAATGCCCATTTCTGGGTGGTATAAATGGCTAACATAGTTGCAAAATGCAAGTTTGGAGGTTTGAATCCTCCCAAAGGCACTTTGGAAGAAAAGCTTGGTGATCTGCTTCTGAAAAGTTAGCCATTGATCTAGAAAAGTCTGTGAATCACAGGTCATCTCTGACACACATAGAGTACCACAGTCAGAGTTAGTTTTACTGGTTCAAGTTTAAATAGCCTCACCTGTTTAAAAAATGTGCTTTTCTCTGAAAACAGTTGAGTTTGGGACTTCTGGGTGACCATTTTTCTTTAAATAAAAGTGAGAAGGACTAGTTGGCAGAGAAGAAAAAAAACCCAAAGAAATGCAGAGTGAACATAGGCATTGGGGATGCTAAGAGAACAGGAAGTTGAAAAGAGAAAGTAGATTTTGCAGTAAGGAAGAGAAAGGGACCTATGTGGAGAGCCAACAACAGTAGAATTAATACGAAATGCTACAATAGTAGGGACTCTGGGGTGATAGAATTCTCCCCTTCCATGCGGGAGGCCCGAGTTCGATGCATAGCCAATACATTTTATGGACACCACCACCCATCTGTCAATGGAGGTATCTGTGTTGCTATAATGCTGAAGAAGTTTCAGTGGAATTCCCAGACTCAAATTGAGTAGGAAGAAAGGTCTGGCAATCTACTTTTTTAAATCAGCCAATAAAAACCCCACAGCTCCACAGTGATCTGATCCATAACCAATCACAGGGTTCTAATGAGATCTAGAATGACACTGTTGTTATTGTCAGTTACCATCAAGTTCTTTCTGACTCCTGGCCACCCGTGTCTACAGAGTAGTATTGTACTCTGTAGGGTTTTGGAAGCAGTTCACCAGACCTGTTTTCCAAGGCACCAACTTTTCAGCGAGTACTCAAGTGTTCAACTGTTTGAACCACCCAGGGTCCAGAATTACCATGTTGTTGTTGTCATCAAGTGTCAAGTTAGTTCCGACTCAGCCCGGCGTGTCACTGTAGGATAAACATTCGATGACAGTCACGTGCTTATCTATCCTACAGTGTCCCACCAGTATTCCACCAGAATCACCATGTGACCTAGCAATTCCACTCCTCTAAGTATAGACCCAAAAGGTTTGAAAGGTCAATTGTATGTAAATGTCCATCGCATATAGCATTATTATAAGAAGTCCTAGTGGCATACATAGATGGTTGAGCACTCGGCTATTAACAGAAAAGTTGGCAGTTCAAACCCACCCAGTTCTTACATGGGAGAGAAACCTGGTGATGTGCTTGTATAAATATGACTACCTAGAAAACCCTTTAGGATGGTTCTTCTGTATCACATGGGGTTGCTATGAATTGGAACTGACTCAAAAGTAATTAACGACAGCATAACATTATTGTAGGCAAAAGGTTGTTGTTAAGTGCCATCCAGTCAGTTCTGACTCATTGTGACCCTGTATAAGGTCTCAAGGGAACAGCTGGTGGGATTGAACTGCCGACCTTGTGGTTCACAGTCCAATGCTGATCCTACAGCGCCACACCAGGAATCCAAAAGGTAGAAAGAACCCAATAACCGTCAAGGGATGAGTAGACTAATGACACGTACATCCATACAACGGATTGTTTTTGTTGTTGTGAAGTGCCGTCGAGACAGTTCTGACCCATAGCAACCTTATATAGTATAGGGTTTCCAAGGAGCGACTGGTGAGCTAGAACCACCGATTTTGTGGTTCAAACCAACCTATTCTGCTCTAAATAGGAGCATTCTGATACATGTTACAAGTAGAAGAAGCTTGAAAACATGACACTGAATGGAAAAAAACAAAACAGATACAAAAGTTCACAGAGCATGTGATTCCATTTCTGTGAAATGTCCAGCATAGGCAAATCCGTAGGGACAGAAAGCAGATTGTGGCTGGTTGCCAGGTAGGGAGAGGAGGGAGAATGGAGGGTGGCTGATTAATGGGTACCAAGTTTTCATTTGGGAGCAAGAAAGTGTTCTAAAACTAGATAGAAGTGTGTGTACTAGATGCCCCAAATCGTACAGTGGTTAAAATGGCTAATTATATGTCACATACATTTAACCAAACACATCCAGTCACACAAACAGAAAGAAAAGAAGTATCTGGTAGGGCAGTGGTATCTATCAGAGGATGCTGGCAGGGGACTGAGCTCCCCCAGTTGTCTCCCAGACTTCAGCCTTTCCAAACTTGGTCCATCTCCCCAGGCCTGGCTGGACACCCAGAAGCGGAGGTTGGGTCACCATGTAAATGGAAAGTGGCTGAAACCAGAGCACAGGAATACCACGTCTTGTCAGGACCCCATCACAGGTATGAGACCCCCCGAGGCACTGGGGGAAGGGGAGGCGTGTACCCTTCAGCATCCCCACCAACCACACCCCAGTCTCTTGGTTCGGACCCCAGAGGGCAGGATGCAGATAGTGATGGGACAATACAGAAACTTTGGGCTCCTCCTGATTACAATCACTCTAATGACAGTCCCAGTCCCCAGTGGAGACTTTTTGAAGCCACTGTCTACTAAATCCCAGCCTTGTCTAGAGGAGGTGTCAGCAGTGGCAGGTAGATAATTATCCCATTTATCCAACAGTGAAACTGGCCTGGGGACCACTCCCAGGCCCAGAAACTCTCAGAACCCCACCCCAGCTCTGACCTAGGCTTCCCCCTGTCTCTCCACCACCCGGGTCTCCACTTTTCTCCCCAGGAGAGACCTTGGCCAGTTGCCTCGAGGCACAGGCTGAAGATGTGGCAGCAGCTGTGGAGGCAGCCAAGGTGGCCTTTAAGGACTGGAGTAGCCTCCCTGGGGCCCTCAGAGCCCAGCACCTGGTCAGGTGAGGCAGTCCAGGTATGGTCCCCAGGAGGAAGGGAAAGAACTCATCTCCCAGCATCCGCTTGGAGCTCTGGAACAAAGACTGCTTCCCACTGAGTGAATGGGCAGCCAGTTTGTCCGACTCTGCTGGTGTGTGTGGTGCTGGATGATGGAAGTTCTGTCACTGGTATTTGAAACACCAGCAGGATCACCCATCCTGGACAGGTTTCAGGGAGCTTCTGAAATAGACTAAGAAGAAAGACCTGGTGATCTGTTTCTGAACTTGATCGGTGGACACCTCATGGATCACCACAGGATGCTATCTGATGCATTCTGCAAGATGAGCCCTGTCTTAGATTGCATTGTGTCCTCCCACCAAACTTGTGTTGACTTGGCTGTGGTTTGGCAGTTATGGAATGATTCCCCAGGATGTGTTCTCATACAAAAAATCAGTAAGAGGGTTAAGGATGTGATACCTGTGAGCCCTGCTTTGGTGCTGCAGGATAAGCACTGGACCACTCACCGTAAGTTTAAACCCACCAGACACTCTCAGAAACCCTATACAAGGTAACTATGAGTCGAAACCAACTTGACAGAATACATTAGCAACAAGCAGTACCCTTAATCCCATCAAACCCTGATCCCATGCAAGGGACTTTCCCAGGGCTGCAGACTGCAAAATCTTTTATCTCCCAAAGAGAAAAGGGCAGAGAAAGAGGGACCCCAACTATCCCCAAGGAAGAAGAGCTAGGAGTGGGGTGTGTCCGTTAGACTTGGGGTCCCCACACTGTAAAGCTCTTGTTGTTGGTGTTGTTAGGTGCCATCAAGTTGGTACCAACTCAAAGTGATCCTAGGCACAACAGAATGAGACACTGCCTGGTTCTGCACCAACCTCAAAATTGTTGCTGCATTTGAGCCCACTGCTGCTGCCACTGTGCCAATCAATCTCATTGGGGGTCTTCCTCTTTTTCTTCATCCCTCCACTTACCAAACATGATATCCTTCTCAAGGAACTGGTACCTCCTGACAATATGTCCAAGAGACGAAATCTAGCCATCTTGGCTTCCAGGGAGCATTCTGGCTGTACTTCTTCCAACACCAATATGTTGTTCTTTTGGCAGCCCATGATGCTTTCAATATTCTCTTCCAACACCATAACAGAAGCATCAATTCTTCTACGGGCTTCCTTATTCATTGTCCAGCTTTTAAATGCATATGAGGTTATTGAAAATACCCCGTGACTTGGGTCAGGCGCTCCTTAATCCTCAGACTGACATCTTTACTTTTCAACACTTTAAAGAGGTCTTGTGTAGCAGATTTGCCTAATTTCTTTTTATTTATGTATCTATATTGTGAACTGAGTGATAGTTTACATGGGAGAACGTTGGCTTTACACCATTGTTTCATTGCGATGATTACAGTCCCCTCTGTGCAACATCTTTCAACAATATTTGCTTCCATTCCCTCTGGTTTTCCGTCATTTAATTTCTTGACTGCCGCTGCTATGAGTGTTGATGTCTGATCTGAGCTATCAGAGCCATCAGTTAGTTGTCAAAGTGAAGTCTTTGACAATTTCAGTCTTTTTCCATTTATCATCATGATATTTATTGTTCCAGTAGTGAGGATTTTTGTTTTCTTTACGTTGAGGTGCAACATATACTAAAGGCTGTGATCTTTGATCTTCATCAGTCAGTATTTTATGTCCTCTTTGCTTTCAGCAAGCAGGGTAGTATCATCTGCTTATTGCAGGTTGTTAATTCTCTCCTGATACCCCATTCTTCTTCATATAATCCAGTTTCTTAGATTATTTGCTCAGCATACAGATTGAATAAATATGGTGAAAGAATACAACCCTGGTGCACACCTTTCCTAATTTTAAACCATTCAATATTCCCTTATTCTGTTTGAACAACTGCCTCCTAGTCTATACACAGGTTCTTCTAGATAAAAAGATTCTAGATAAATATCTTTCTGGTGTTCTCTGCTTTCAGCCTAGATCCAACTGATATCAGCAATGATTTCCCTAGTTTCACGTCCTCCTCTGAGTATGACTTGAACCTCTGAAAGTTCTCTGTCAATGTATGGTTGCAGCTGTGTTTGAATTATCCTTAGCAGAATTTTGCTTGCGTGGGATATTAATGATATTATCCAGTGATTTCTACATTCTGTTGGGTCACCTCTCTTTGGAATGGTCACAAATATGGATCTCTTCCAGTCAGTTGGCCAGCTAGCTGTCTTCCAGATTTCTTGGCATAGATGAGTGAGTGCCTCCAGTGCTGCATCAGCTTGTTGTAAGGTTTTAATTTGTATTCCATCAATTCCTGGAGCCTTGGTCTTTGCCAATGCCTTCAGTGTACCTTGGACTTCTTCCTTCAGGATCATTGACTCTTGAGCATATGCTACCTCTTGAAATGGTTGAAAATCAACCATTTCTCTTTGGTGCAGTGACTTTGTATTCCTTCCATCATTTGATGCTTTCTGTATCATTCAATATTTTGCCCATAAAATCCTTCAATATCGCAAGTCGAGGCTTGAATTTTTTATATAGTTCCCTCAGCTTGAGGAATGCTGAGTGTGGCCTTTCCCTTGTGGTTTTCCAACTCCAGGTCTTTGCACATTTCATTATAATATTTGACTTTGTCTTCTTGAGTTGCCCTTTGAAATTTTCTATTCAGCTCTTTTCTTCCATTTGCTTTAGCATCTCTACACTGGGGGAAAGATTCAAAGTCTCTTCTAACATCCAGTTTGGCCTTTTTCTTCTTTCTTGCCTTCTTAATGGCATTTTGCTTTCTTCCTGTATGATGTTCTTGATGTCATCCCACAACTCTTCTGGTCTTCAGTCTTTAATGTCTAATGCATCAAATCTCTTCTTCAGATGATCTCTAAATTCAGGTGGGATATGTTCAAGGTCATAATTTGACTCTCATGGACTTGTTTTAATTTTCTTCATCTTCAGTGTGAATTTGCATATGAGTAATTGATGGTCTGTTCCACAGTCTGCCCCTGGACTTGTTTTGGCTTTTCCACCATCTCTTGCCACAGATGTAGTCAGTTAGATTTCTGTGTATTCCATCTGATGAGATCCATGTATATAGACATCTTTTAAGATGTTTAAAAAGGTATCTACAATGAAGAAGTCATTGGTCTTGCAAAATCAGCATCTTTTCTATCACCAAGGCCATATTTTCCAACCACTGATCCTTCCTCTTTGTTTCCAACCTTTACATTTCATCACCAGTAATGATTAATACATCTTGATTGCATGTTTGATCAATTTCAGACTGAAGAAGTTGGTGGTGGTTGTTGTTGTTGTGAAGTGCCGTCGAGTCGGTTCTGACCCAAAGCGACCCTGTATAGGGTTTCCAAGGAGCAGCTGGTGAGCTTGAACCGCCGACCTTGCAGTTCCAACGGCTTTGCAGTCGAATTAACCCACAGCGCCACACAATTCTTCAATTTCCTCCTCACTGGCTTTAATGGTTGGGGTGTAAGTTTGACTGATAGCTGCATTAACTAGCCTTCCTTGTAGACTTATGGATATTATTATTATTTTTTTAAGTTTTTGTTGTGAATTGAGTGATAGTTTATATGGGAGGACATCGGTTTTATACTCGTTTCATTACAATGATTACAATCCCCTCCATGCATCATCATTCAACAGTATTTGCTTCTATTCCCTCTGGGTATTTTGGGGTTTTTTGGAGGGGGACATGTACACCAAAACCCTCAGGAATAGATAATTATTTAAACAACCAAAGGGCACATTCTGCAAGCCTGCCTCCTTGCCCGCCAGCACACAGCCTTTCTCTTTCCATGAGTCTAGAGTCCTCAGCTGCTCCCTCTCTCCATGTCCTCATCTCTGCCTCCATCTCTGGGGTCACTGCTTCTCTGGATAGGGTCCCACATTCCATTCATGCTCTTCTAGCTTGATGGTCCTACAGTCCTCTGTTCCTGCATTATGTTGTTGTTAAGTGCCTTCGAGTAGATTCTGACTCATAGTTTCCATGGAGTGGCTGGTGAGTTTGAATCACCAACCTTGTAGTTAGCAGTTCAGTGTTTATCCAACAGCGTCTCATTATAGAATCCACGAAACTGCACCTAATATCTACCAGCCCTAGATCATATAAAACTCTGGAGTTATAGAAATCTTTAGCATGCTGCTTTGGGAGCTCTCTGATCAGAAACATCCCACCTTGCTGCAAGAGGACATCACCTAGAAACATTTAAACTTTCCCCATTTGCTCCTTCCTGGATATTATCTTATCATAGAAGACAGCGTTGTATTTCAAGACAGATCTTGATAGGTTCTTTTTCATGATGATTGCAACGCCATACTTCCTCAATTTGTCATTTCCGACATAGTAAACCATGTGATTGTCAGATTCAAAATGGTCAATACCAATCCATCTCAGCTCATTAATGCCTATGAGATCGATGTTTATTATGTGTTCCATTTCATTTTTGACAATTTCCAATTTTCCTAGATTCATACTTCATACATTCCATGTTCTGATTATTAATGGATGTTTACAGCTGTTTCTCCTCATTTTTAGTTGTTCCCATCAGCAAA